CTTGTTTACTACAGAGCCATTCACAATATCCATCTAGCAATCCAAGTAATCTATAAAACGTGGTTTCAATTTTGATATTTTTTTAGCAATGATTGCATAAAACATTCACCATGAAGCATAAGCTCTAATTTTACATTTTTTTTTTTCAAATTATAGATTCATTGTTCTTATAATTGTGGTGAATTGAATATGCATGAATAAGAGAAGAAAAAAAATGGGATTTTTCAAACCCTACATGCATGGGAGTTGCAGTCTGAAGCCGCGCGTCAAGCCACCAAGTCGTTCCTGCTCCAAAACTCTAAGGTCCAAAAGAAAGCCATTTTGCATCACCTTTCTTATGGACCTGGGCTGCCTGCAATTGACCCGCAACCCAATTGGGCATATGCACCAAACCGTCCCACTTGTTTTTCTTCTTTTCTTTTGGGCCTTGTTTTATTTTTGGCTTTCATGAAATAACAAGCCCATGTGTTAGGCCTTGTTTTTCACTTTTCCTTCTTAGTCCAATAATTGGGTATGTAATCTGTTAACCCATTTACTTTTCCTTTGTTGCCTAGCAACCCAACAACCACTTTTTTGGGCCTACAAGCCACGACAGCCCCATATTTTGGGTCGTCACTCATTCTTTTCACACATAGGTCTCGAAACTATTCCCGTTCACTACATATGTATATTGTGTTTGTTTGCAGGTATCATGAACCTAGAGTTCGTACTTAAACTCGAACTTGAAGTTTTGAAAATAAGTGCCTTAGAAATTCGAAATTTCATAAAACAATACACCCGTAAAAATCCGGAGTTCTTGTAGGCGATTCATTAGGATTACATGTAGATGATGCTTTTAAAAACAACAGTAAAATTTAGTTTGTGCAAATTACTTTATTGTCCATAATTTTATTTCGTGATAGAAGACAAAAATGTTTTTTTTGACAAAAAGAGTTTCATTAATATGTGGTTTAAATTAACTTCTTCCTTACAAATCTGTTATGTGTAAATCAACTAATTTGAAATAGGTCCAATTTTATGGAAAGATATCCTCTCTGGATCCCTTCCACCAAATCCACCAAGTTAATCAATACAGGCCCTTGAAATTTGATCTAACAGCTACAAACAGAGGCCCCTTTAAAAGTTATAACTACTTTAGCCGTTAGACTAAATTTCAAGGGTCCGAATTAGGTGATTGGGTGGATTTGGTGGAAGAGATTCGGAAAAGATTCCTTTCCCAATTTTATGGCCTAACAATTAGATTAGTCCAATTTTTAGTTAATTTTTTATTTAGGTCCATGAATATGACTCTATATGTCAGCACTATTTGTTGTTAGGTTGATATTTTTCATTGTGATTACTATTTTACTCTACTATAGCTATTCAATAGAAAAAGAAAAAAAAGAAAAAAAAGAAAAATGATACGATCGGTACTTTACTAGCGATGATATTTGATCATAATCGCTAAAAATATAATGACTAATAAGCCAAAAAGTCGCTATCTTCATACCGATCCTTCCTTTTCAATTTTTTTTTTTCAGTTTTTTATTTTTATTTTTTATTTTGTTAATATTTCTTTTATTTCTCTTACTATAACAACAAACTATCATATTCATGTTTTTCAAAATATATTTTTTCCGTGCAAAATATATTATAATTCATTTTTAAACACTTGTAATCAATGATTTAAAACCTTAATTTAAAGATATTTTTCTATTTTCTCACTTTAAGAATCAATAAAAAATAGTTTCAGGACCTAATAATCGGTAGGATCACATCCAAAGTGTCACATCCCGGCCCGGGCCCGACTCCACCACCGTAGCACGATATTGTCCGCTTTGGGCTTACCATTCCCTCACGGTTTTGTTTTTGGGAACTCACGAGCAACTTCCCAGTGGGTCACCCATCATGGGATTGCTCTAGGCCCCTTCTCACTTAACTTCGGAGTTCCTACGGAACCCGAAGCCAATGAGCTCCCAAAAGGCCTCGTGCTAGGTAGAGATGGGAATATACATTTAAGGATCACTCCCCTGGGCAATGTGGGATATCACAATCCACCCTCCTTAGGGCCTCGACGTCCTCGTCGGCACATTTCCGGCCAGGGATTGGCTCTGATACCAATTTGTCACATCCCGGCCCAGGACGGACCACTTTCCGGGCCCGACTCCACCACCGTAGCACGATATTGTCCGCTTTGGGCTTACCATTCCCTCACGGTTTTGTTTTTGGGAACTCACGAGCAACTTCCCAGTGGGTCACCCATCATGGGATTGCTCTAGGCCCCTTCTCACTTAACTTCGGAGTTCCTACGGAACCCGAAGCCAATGAGCTCCCAAAAGGCCTCGTGCTAGGTAGAGATGAGAATATGCATTTAAGGATCACTCCCCTGGGCGATGTGGGATATCACACAAAGGTTTTGCAATATTTTCCTTAACTCCAGTGCAAAATATTTCTTAAAGCTAAAAATTTCAAATTTTTTTTTTTTCACAAAAAACTGTGTGCTATACATATTTCCTAAAATAAATGTAGGACATTTCCAAAATTTCGGACACCTATAAATCTCTTGGGGGGCCTCGCTATTAGTTTATTATTTTTCTATTTTTTTTTTTTTTGCAACTCAGGTACCCTATTAGTCGGCATAAACCTAGATTTCAGTTGATCTTTTACAATCTAAGCTACCTATTATATAAGTATTTTTACAGTCTAAACTACATTGCACATAAATACTTGTACAAGCTAAACTACCTATCATATTATAATATTAATCGACATAAACTTAGATTTCAACTAATCTTTTATATTCTAAACTATCTATTATATAAGTACTTTTACAGTTTGAACTACCTGTCATATAAGTACTTGTACAAACTAAACTACATATCATGGTGGAACAAGTAATTTTACATGATTCTAACAGTAAGATGTAGTCATCTATCTTGGTAATGTTAAAAGTCCCCGAAGCTAACACAATTAATGTCAAAAATCTCTTGAGCAATTACTTACATAAGACAATTAATGTATAATGCTTGCGAATCATGTAACAAATATCAACAAAAATGAAGCTTACTGTTGTAAACGACTCAACGAAAACATGTAAATTTACTTGTAGTTCTCATAGCTTCATGCGAATTCAAATTCAAATTTGGATACTAATTTGCAGGAATCGCGAGGAAAATTCAAAACATGTGTCGGTAAGAGTTTTTGACGAAACGACGAGAATTGATGAGTAGCTTTTAAAAAAAAAAAAAAAGAATACAATGATATATTTTACACTAAAAAAGATGAGAGTTTTTTATGAAATGATGAGATTTGATGTGTAACTTAAAGTTCCATGTTAATTCTGGAAGAGTCATGATAAAACATTCAACAACAATCGATGCAATTTTATTTTCAAATTATGGACACTTTAATTGCTCTACTTATTAGACCCTACCTATGACTGTGCAATACATTAGACTCATATCAAAACATGCGGATCAAGATCTTCTCCTGAGCAAAGGATGAGGATCCTCCTAACCAAGTCCATCGGGCCATTGAAATTTTATCCAACGATTACAAACAAGGGGCCCCTCTAAAATTATAATAATTGTAGTCGTTGGATAAAATTTCAACGGCCCGATGGGCTTGGTCAGGAAGATCCTCACTAAGGATGGGCAAATACTCATTGGTTATGGGTAACCGCGGTTATCCGCCCATTTAAATTTGACGGTTACGGTTATGGGTATAACCATTTACCGTGAAATTTAAATGGATGATTATGGGTATTACCCGCGGTTATAAACAAGTACCCATTTAATCGTTTATTTTAATATATGTAAAACTTAAAAAAAAAAATTAGTTTCTAACTAAGTTTAGTATCCCGATATATATTTGGTTATAAAGGGCCATATAATATATATATATTTATTTATTTATTTATTTATGCTTCACTTGAGAGAAAAATATAGTTGATAGAACGGGCTAATATTTAATATATGTGATTGAATGTGCCAAAGCATTAGTGTTAGACAGTTTTGTTTTGGAGTCTTTTGGAGTTTTGACCAATTCAAAATAATGATTACCTTGAGCATTTAGAAACATGTTATTATTAAATGATGCGTACCTCTCTCTCTCTCTCTCTCTCTATATATATATTTAATTGGCCTTGAGTTATTATTAGATGATGCGTACCTCTCTCTATATATATTTAATTGGCTTTGAGTTTTCAATAAATATTTGACCCCAAAATTAGAAATTGATTAAATGGCTTGGATCGATGAACATATGTTTCTAAATAAAAATCCAAATATTTATCAAATTAGCCTATTAGCAGACTGATGCGTACTTACACATATATATATATATGTGTGTGTATATATATATAGGTATGTATGTATGTATGTATACAAGAATATTAATTAACCTACAACTATGCATGATTCTTGTAATAAATTGACCGTCAAATAATTGGTAGACATCGCATATATTCATAAATAATATTGCTGTTAATATAGAAATACATGTTAAATGTACTTATAATGGTATTTAATAGTTAGAAAAAATGAAAATTATGATAAATTTCTTTTTAATTTTCAAGTTGTTAAAAAAAGGTAGACGGGTAAAAATAAAAAATAAACGGGTGCGCGGTTATGGGTAAATATGTATGCGGTTATGGGTATGGTTAACCATTTATAAATTGTTATGGGTATGTGTATACCCGTTTGTGTAAATACCCAACTGGTAAACGATTATATGGGTAAAAGCTTAAACAGTTATGAGTAAATAATATTGGTTACCCGCCCACCATAATCGTTGTCCATCACTAGTTATGTGTTCAAGATGCATCAAATTATGTGTTTATTACAAAAAACACTTGAAATACTCTTCAAATCAAAAAATAATTTTTCTAAAAATATTTTTAGTCATTCTAAAAACATTTCTAAACCAATAAAAATTGTTCTTATAATTAGCAAAGGCACTTTCAAGTACCAAGGGCCCAAAGTACGAAAAGTACTAAAACGTTGGAATTTCAGTTGTAGGCGCTACCCTATTTGTGAGTGCAGAGAATCGTAGCCCAGACTCCAAAGAAAGAGCAAACCTCATCCTTTCAGATTCTTGAGAGAGAGAGAGAGAGAGAGAGTTTGTGGATCTCACACTTGCAGTTGCATTAACTACAAGCAACTCGAAAACGATGATGATGATCGAGTCAGCCATGGCCGTACGATTCAACTCCGCCGCCACAAACCTCTGCTCCTCCACCTCCATGCGCTGTAACTCCCTCCCTCTCTCTTTCTCCACCGCCTCACTTTGACAGCTCAACTTTCTCTTCACATTTCTTCCCCGCGTTATCTCTGTTCCCACACAGGACGCTTCTAATCTAATTTCTTTTGTTTGTTGCAGCTTGTCGTCCGACGTGGAGCTCAGACGAGGTGACCGGAGCCGTACACTGCCGCCTTTCTTGCACCGGCGGGTTCGCCGCGCCGTGGTAAGCAAACTAGTTTGATTTTTATTTTCGAGCAGCTGAGCATTTTCTTGCTGAATAAACCAACTTGAATTTCGAGGTTCCGAAAATGCGTAAATTTGACAAGAATTTTATACAGGAATCGAATTAGACGATCAAAGAATGGTTCAGTTGCAAAAAGGGGCAGTTTTGTTAAGAGTGGGATTCGGGCATCCGCCGGGCAGTTAGGGCCCGGTTCAGAGCCTGTAAAGCCAAATGGGAGGCCGCAATACCACCCATTTGAGGATATTGCCGAGTCCACATTGGAGGCTAGCGGAGCTGCTAGACTTACAGCCGCAGAATCTGCTAGAACCCTTATTGAGGTAGTACATTGCATTCGATTGTTGATAAGTAGATGAAAGTTCGAAAATTTGATTACTAAGGGCTCGTTTGGAAGTGCTTTTAATATGACTAAAAGCGCTTTTGAAGAAAATGTTTCCATATGTGCTTCTTCAATGAAGCACTTCAAAGTGCTTTTCCAGGTTCACTTGCGTTTTTACTAAGGATTGGGTCCAAAAACATTTTCACCAAAAGCACTTTCAATCATTTTAAAAGCACTTCCAAACGAGCCATAAATTGGACTAGTTTTGCTCACTTGTGGATGCTCCCCATATCATATCGAGTGTATTGCTAATGTTGCCCATAGTATGCCATTTTCAGGTTAACAGCAAAGCAACACTCATGTTTACGAGTTTGATCAATGACGAGGTTCATGAAAATATTTTATGTCCGGATTTGCCTTATGTAACAGATGAACATGGAAGTAAGTCATGTATATGACTTTCTCATGATATGTTGGACTTTGGAATATTTTTCTTTCTTTCAAAGTGAAGATTTTAACCCGCTCGAGCATGTTGCAGATATTTACTTTCAAGTGAAGGATAGTGAAGACACTTTTCAGTCCCTAACTTCAGAAAATAACTTTGTGGTATGCAATTTTTATGAACAAATAGAACAATAATAGTCTGTAAAAATGATTGAATTCTAGCAGCAATTCTATGCTTTGGACTTTCTCTTACGAATTTGTGGGTCATTATAATAATGCAGCAAGTTATTATTGGGTTAGATGCTATGGAAATGATCAATGAGATGGAGTTACCAGGCATTGATTTTGAAAGAGATGGGATTGAAGATGAAGATAGTGATGTTGAAGATGATGACGATGATGAGGAGGACGATGATGAAGAAGACGTTGACTACGATTCGGTCTGTTTGTGTTTTCATTTCATTAGACGTGGAATGCATGGATGTTGTAAGACATTTCTAATTATCTAATAGGTTCGTGTTTAGGACTGGGTTGCTGTTCTTGAAGATGAAGACGAAGATGATCTGGATGATTCTGACAAGTCTATTGGAGACTGGGCAAAATTGGAGACTATGCGTTATTCTCACCCAATGTATTTTGCCAAGAAGCTAAGTGAGGTAATTATCCATTGTAATTTTCTTACCCTACCATGGAGTGATGTAGAAGTAACTGAAAAAATTAACTCGTGTGTTTTGTTTGTAACAACGGGGAATCCTTGAGCTTTTCATTTGCTTACTTGTTGTACCTCTTTTTCATTTGAAGCATCTAGCTGCGGTCGTATCCCATTTCATGGTTTTTCATGAAGTTGTCAATTCTTTTTTCTGTGTCTCATATTTCCACTTTTGTTTTTACTTTTCAGGTTGCTTCTGATGATCCTGTAGATTGGGCGGAGCAGGCTCCAGCTAGTTTGGCTATTCAGGGCCTTATAAGGCCTGCACTTGTAGAAGAACATTCTGTCATCCAAAAGCATCTGTCTGATCATCAGTCTGATAATGATGGCATAGATGAAGTTGTGAGGACTGTCGAAGATGATTTAGAAGATCCTGTTACGATTAATGGCTATAAATCAGGAAATTCCAAGGATAGTCCAGACTCGGCAGAGGAATTGGAGAATAAGAAAGATGAAGCACCGGGAAACGGGACTACATTTTACAAACTGGAGATGGTTAAAATTCAGCTGTTTTCATCACATGGAAATCAGGTTTGTGTAAGGAAGGATTTTACTTGTATTTTTTGGTTGAAGTGGATGCGAGCTCCTTTTTAATAGATATCTTTTGTTGCAATTCTCCACAGACTCTTGTTGAAGTAGAAGACTTTGTAAAAGCTCAACCTGATTGCATTGCACACTCGGCAGCTAAAATTATATCTCGTTTGAAAGCTGGTGGAGAAAAGACCACGCAAGCTCTCAAGTCTTTGTGTTGGAGACTAAAGGGTCTTCAAGTGGAGGTACACCTTTTTTTTGGCCAACATGTTCAAAGTTGTTATACAAGTTTCCAAATCTATTTCAAAGACGTAGCTGTAGGTTTTGCACAACTTTTTTTTTTACAATTTTGAACCATTTCAAAACATATGATCTCCAGAAAAGGTTGTTTTTAGAGTGAAACGCCCTACTTATATGAGGTCGTCTTTAACACCCACGAAGATGATTGATCTTTGTTGAATTTTATTGCAGGAGGCAGTACTTAATGGTGTAGATTCCCTTGGATTTGACGTAAGGGTTTGCTCAGGGACACAAGTCCAGACATTGCGGTTTGCGCTTAATACGCGGGTATGTCAATCATCCTTGAGCCATGAGGTTTAATATTTCGTCTTTCGTTGTTACTCTTTGGAACCATTCAATACAATGGGCTTATGTTGAAAAGTAAGGTTGCCTATGATTACCCCGTCTACTCATGTGTTTTCAGGCGACTTCTGAGTACAGTGCGGAGAGACAACTCAATGATCTACTATTCCCAAGGATGCAGCACAAACCACAAACGGTGAAACAAACTTAGCAAATTGAATGCTAACATTATCAACACCGTGAAGTGTCATCTTCTAGTTTGATTCCGGCTCGTTTCTTCATCGTGCCTCCTTGCAGAGATTTGGATATAACAGCTGAAGAGGTTGCCCAAAATTTACCCGCACAGTCCACCAGGTCGTTGTATTGTTAATTTCAATTAATGATTTATGAAAATTCTTTTTTTTTTTTCCGAAGCCTTGTGATTCTTGGCCTCGTAAATAATTTTTTGAACTTGCTCATCTTGCTGCTCGGTCTCATGCCGTTGAAATTTGATTCAGAAGTAACTCCGAACTAGAAACACTGCGATTTAACAAAGATATCGAGAACGTATTGTAGCATTTTTTCTGAATAGTTTTTATTCTCCTTCCTAGCAATCCATTGCTGTTGTTTCAACTGATCGGATTGTAAGCTCAGGTTAAACAAATTTTCTCCGGCGGCTGTTGAGATCGTGTTACTTTGATGTTATAGTGCTTTTAGCAAATTAGGAACTGTATTGCAGAACAGAGTAAGAGATTTTAGCAAAGTAGTTTTCATTTTCCAGGATGAACTGGCTGCATTATTTTTTATGATCCGAACGCAGTGTTTCGCTTATACAACATCTCGAATCTACAACTACAAGCAAGCATTTTATTCAGCGATCATGTTCTCGTACACATTGATGAACAAAGACCGGAAAACTACGACGGGCGCAAACCCCGGTTGAGGTTGTACCGTTGTACAATGTGTTCGATCTCCATTCGATCCAACTAATTTTGTTGCTGGATGTAGGTTTCATACACCAACTGAGCTGCAAGAATATCCACAACTGCAGAACCAACAGACTTGAACACAGTAATCTCCTTGCAACTTGTTCTCCCAACCTTCTCGCCGTTGATCAACTCCACCAACATTCCGCAAACATCCGCCTTCTCCATCACCCCTCTCTCGAAAGCACCCACCAGCTCCCCCGCCTCCTCCAGCGCCGCCTCATTGTCCACGAAAACCCTCCCTCTCCTCACCGCCTCATCGTCACATTCCTTCATGGAATGCTTGAAAGATCCAACCAAGTCCAAATGTGCCCCCGCCTTCAGCTTCTCCCCCTTCACAAGGGCCGCCTCCGAATTGGTGGCGCAGCTCACAATGTCTCCCATCCCAACCGCCTCATCCAAACACCCATTGCTCTCAAAACAAACCCCATTAAACTCCGCACATTCTCTCATTTTCTCAGCCAAAATTTCCGCCTTCTCCGCGTTCCGGTTCCATATGATCACCCTCTTCAAGCTCGGCCGTGCCGCTAAATGAGCTCTGATCAAATGCGGCGCCATAGCGCCCGCACCGATCATAACCAGTATTTCGCTGTCATTTCGGGATAAAATCCTAGAAGCTAAGCCTGAAACGCAGGAGGTTCTGTAAAGGGTGAGGGTGGTACCGTCCACGGTGGCGAGGGTTTGGCCGGTGGCGGAGCTGAAGAGCACATAACTTGCGTGCACTCCGGGTAAGTTTATGGTGGAGTTTCCGGGGAAGTAGGTGACGAGCTTGACGCCCAAGTAGGGGAGAGAAGGGGAGGAGGACCAGGAGGGCATGAGGAGGAGAGAGGAGGAGGGCGAAACGTCGTAGCTTTGGCGGATTGGGGATTGCAGAGAAGCTGAGACGGCGGGAAGGGAAGATTGGAAGTGGTTGATTAGGGTTTGGTGAGAGAGGATGGAGTGTAGAGACTCGGCGGTGACAGAAATTGGGGATGTTATGGTGGTGGTGGTGGTTGATTTGGCGGCGGAAGCCATTGATATCAGAGTTGATAGTTTGGGAGGCTTTGGTGTGAGTCTGAGAGAAGAGGCAAAATATATGAGAAGATTGACTTGAGATATACTCTAATTTCTGTGACTGGTGGAGTTTTTCAGAAAACTTAGACGGACGAGCATATCATATAGCGTTACGTTTAAACAATATTAACAGAACGTCACAGTAACGGTGTAAAAAATTCTAATACAAAGGTAGGAGGAAGGTAGGCGTGGACCAAGACATACATATTTGTTTGATTATAACGGAACGTCACAGTAACGGTGTAAAAAATTCTATTTACAAAGGTACGAGGAAGGTAGGCGTGGACCAAGACATACATATTTGTTTGACTATATAATAGCCTGAGTAGGGAAAAGACAAATAATATAACGAAAAAAGGAAGGTGTTTTTTGCACATTATTAGTTGTTAGATTAAATAAATTAAACAAAAAATAATGAATATGATTACATAGGATTGTACATGACGCTTGGTCCAACTAAATTCACGGTGGTTTTATTCAGTGTGAAAAATTGCCCTATTGCGTTTTGCTCATATTTTAGAAGGTGCATTTAAATGATTATTTTTATTTGGTCAATTGAAAAATGAGAATTTTTCGGTTTGGATACGGAATAAGTTGTTTCTATGAAACAAGACATAAAAAATTTCCCCTACCCACCCCCTCTTACTTTATGAAGTTCATCCAGCCCCATTTGTGTCTCATCTGCCTCTCACATAACACTCATAATCTACTATTAATAATGACCTCACACAAGACCTTCTCCTCAAATACTTAACCTACTAATATATGCGTATTTTAAAAATGTTGTCACATATTTTACAATTATGTTTTTGGTTACACTTGACTTCATTTTACAAATTAGGTTTTTGATTATACTCGACTCAAATATTCATAGTGTTCTTAATTTAAATTTATTTTGTATTATTTTTATGTAGGTAAAGTCATGCATACAAAATTAGGAAGAACTGTAACGGAATGGAAAATAAAATAAAATCCAAAATATCCACCCAAAAAAAAAGGTCAAAATTCCCGTTTTACCCATATGCCTTGCAATGAGAATTTTCCCCCGAAACCAATGAAAATCCCAACCCAACCCGCCTAATACGATACACGACAGCCACCCAACCCACTCCCTACAACCTCCGCGAGAGCTCCTCCGCCGGCGACCTCCTCTCTCTCCGTCTCTCTCATTTTCTCTCCCCGTACGTCTCTCTTCTCCTCCCTGGGCTGCCTGAATAAACTGGAGCTGACATTTTAAATGCTTACTAAGCATGCTTACCTTGCAACACTCACTTCCGGCCTTCACTCGGGGACTGGAATTCATCAAATCTTCCCACAGTAGAAGCAGTGTAGTGGTAAAAGCTGCTTCTCAAAAAAGTGCTTCCTGAATTTTGCATGCTTTGAAATTGTTGTTAGAGAAAGACAATCACTGTCTTCTAAAGTTTATATTTTTCAATGATGTTTTCAGGTATGTGCTCAAAAGGGTCCAAGACCCAGATACCCAAGAGTCTGGAAAGCCAATAAACGGATCGGAACTGTTTCCAAATCCCTCAAACTTGTTGAATCTGTGAGCTTTTACTTTTCTTTGGCCTTCTTTTCTTCTCGATTTTCCATATTTGTGTTTGGTTTTGATTAATTGCTAATTAATTTTTGTAGATTAAGGGGTTGTCAAATGTGAAAGAGGAAGTTTATGGAGCCCTTGATTCTTTCATTGCTTGGGAATTAGAATTCCCGTTGATCACAGTGAAGAAGGCACTCAAGTCCCTTGAGAACCAAAGGGAATGGAAGAGGATAATTCAGGTTTGTTTTTCACCTTCTTTTAATGCTCAATATGTAACGTAGACGTGAGTTAGCCCGGTTGGTCAGTGTAGCTCAATATGTAATGTCGACATGAGTTAGGCCGGTTGGCTAGGGCAGTGTACTTGCTCTCTTGTACCAAAGTTCGAATTCCCTTATGTGGTTTAGATTACTGCTTTGTCAGGATGAAGAAAATGTCAATAAATTATGAATGGGACCTTAAGTTTTGAATACTCAGGAAACAGATGTGGGTTTTGTAGGTGTCAAAGTGGATGCTGAGCAAAGGGCAAGGAAGAACAATGGGGACCTATTTCACACTGTTAACTGCTTTGGCCGAGGATGGGAGGATTGACGAAGCTGAAGAGCTCTGGACTAAGTTGTTTTCGCAGTACTTGGAAAGCATGCCTCGCATGTTCTTCGACAAAATGATTTCAATTTACTACCAGCACGGATTGCACGATAAGATGTTTGAGGTATTGTAGCCCTGCCACATTTTGAAGTTCCTGTGGATTGTTCCGATTTTGATTGAGAAATGAATTCGTTCTGATGTGCCGGAAAGGCGAAATGTCATGTAGTTTTTGTGTTGGATCCTTTGTAAATCCTGCTGCGAGGAGTCTTTTAACTTGTTGGAAACTCTCTTGTTGTAGATATTTGCTGATATGGAGGAGCTTGGCGTACAACCAAATGTTTCAATTGTTACGAAGGTTGGAAATGTCTTTAAGGAGCAAGGTATGCTGGACAAATACAACAAGTTGAAGAAGAAATATCCGCCACCAAAATGGGAGTATCGGTACATCAAGGGAAAACGCGTTAAAGTCCGAGCAAACTATCAGAACCAGTCTGATGGTGCTGCAAAGGTGATTAGTGAGGAGAAGGAAACAGTCCGCAGCTCCGAAGAGTTGTTAGAAGCTGAATCGAATCCAGATGAACAAATTGTTGAAGCCGAGGAAGAGGACCAGAACTCAAATGATTTATCGGAGGAAGCCGAAGCAAGTTCAGATCAACTTAGGGTTCAATCTTGATACTGTTCTTGGCCAATCAGATTACATCAGAGGTTTAAGATGTTTTCAATCATCCGTAACCTCATTTACTTGACATTACGCAATTGGTAGTCCGGTGAGAAAGGCGTTCGAGGCAAAACGAACTCAGCTGTATTCTCTTCGACACAGGCCTGAAACAAGAATGTTGACCGTGAGGTCTCTGGAAGGGGTCCAGAGCGTAAACTGTTAGCAAAGTTGTATAATTATGTTGTCGATTGAACAAAAATCTACGGTATGTCTGTCGGTTTCGTATTGTCAAAGTTGAGAGTGGTACAAGGAAATAAAACACATCTTTTTGCTCACGAAAATACAAAATTTATAGTGCAAATAAGTAAAATTTGTTAACGTAAAAGAGGTCTAAAATTTTTGAGAACTGCAAGGGCTAAAATGGGGTTGGAACCCAAGTTTTGTAGTCAAATAAAAGATGGAAATATGGTAACTATCACTGTGATGGTTGTTTCAATTCTCACCAAGTAGACGGTAAATGAGCAAACGAAGTCGAAAACTACATAAAATTTTGTTTGTTTTAGTCCTCCTCTGAACCTGAACCTTCTGATCCCGAGCCTTGTTTATCCACAGTGCCATTCGTAGCAGGGCCTTTCTTTTTCGTGTCATGTTGTTCATCCGCCTCATCTTCACTGTACTCACTCTCATAATCGTCGTCATAATCCTCATCTTCGTTCTCCTCCTCCTCTTCAATACCATCTTCCGTGATCGGTCCCTCTTCTGCCACAAAACCTCCCCGGGTACCAGCCCGAGTACGCTTCAAAATCTTCATCTTCAAGTTTGTTTTTCTATCACAGCCAATCCAAGAGTCGCATAGGCAGTAGCATGTCAAATTGTAATTCCCCTCCGCTGGGGCTGGTAACTTGCCTGTTATTGGCCTAGACCCGCTCTTCACCTTCTCAACTGCTTCTCTGATAGCAGCACTAGTCTTTTTCATTGTTGCTTCCGAACCCTCCATTGCGTCCTCGATTGCCTTGGAAGCAGCAGTAATGGCTGCAGCTTCATCCATGAAATTTACCTTCTGCCAAAACCAAACGTTGTTGGAGACACTGTCTGCAAGCAAAAACCAGAAATTTTCTTCCTTGTGGAATGGGAAGTAAGGCGCATGGGGAAGGGCACCAATTAGGCCGTTGGGACGCTTCAATGTCACCCAAGCATTAACGGTGACAACATCACCCTCTTGTATACCATCTTCGCCTTCAGTCTCACATTTAACTTCAATTGATATCGAAGGCATCGTCTGCAATACCATTTCAACATCCTGGACTTCGGTGGATGAGAATCCAGCTGTTTGAGAAAGTAGCTCAGCACGATCTTCCACAGACATGTCCTGAAGATCCTGCAACACTCTCAGCTTCTACAAACAAAGATGAAGAATAATTAAAGCCAAGACCAAACAGAAAAATACTAGCAGGAGAGGAAAATAAAGCAGCAGAAAAAAGTGAAAGAAACAAACACGACTAATTATTACAAAAAATTAAGATTTGCTGCTCACTCGGTCATGAAAAGAGGGATTTCACAGAATATTTACAATTTTAACTATCTCAAGTAGCAATACAGTACTAACGCCTGCTGCCTGCGGCTAGGCAAGAGACAGATTATACAGTTGTGTTCCAGCATGGCATTGTCCAAACAAAGACTGTTTACCTTGCGGGCTATCTTTTTAATAACCGCCTCACCAAAATGTGGCAGCTGCAGAAAGGGGGCAATGCCTTCACTGGACCCTCCAATAGCCTTCCTTGCACTAAGAGGAACAGCCTGCATCATAGTGATGAAATAACATGAACTTCAAAAATGAGTACGCATTCATAAGATACAAATGATAAATGTCGCAGCTATGTGCTTAATGATATTTGCAAACCAAAAGAAAATGAGAAATAAGAAATTATTTACTTCCATATTGTTCAACAATCCTTAATTAACAAGAAACTAAATCATACACAACAAGCTCTCACAAATTTTCCCTTGCGTGATACTTCAGAATAAGATTTGGGCGAGAGGAAAAAACAGCACGGTAACTAACGTATATGCCCACACAGTGAGTGATTGTATGATTGAAATCTTAAATCTTTGCAAAATTAGGGTTTTGCATGATTAGTATATTTTTAAGATCTACATGCTTGACAAAAGTGGATAATGGACCATCACCTGAATTATACACTGAGAAAGTTCAACCACACCAATAGCAGGCCTCAGCCATCCCTGCCCCTGAACATTGCGTGGCATAACTGCCATCTGCATAGAATAAAGCATAAGTAAAACTAGAACAACATGGCTTCCAAATTTTGTACAAATGTCATGAGATATGCTAGCACGTCTGTTGATCAATTGATTTCCAGAAATACTAGGAGCAAGGTACCAACTTCTGTACCCCCTTCTAAATCTGTTGGTCAAATTTTAAGTAGAGTATTGGAACAAGTCTAAACACAAATATGAGTGAATCAATGCAGGCTTATGGAAAGTCTGCATCTTCTAAGAAGAATAAGCACTTGTTTTAGAGTTTGCTAATAGAATGTAAGATAAGACAGGAAAATGTAGAAATCACCTTCATCAATTCTTCAAGGAGGCGAGGGGCAAGTTCCAGGACATGTCTAAAATCACCTTGCAGAGATGGAGATAAGGATGCTGACTCACGAGTTAACTGTGCTTGAATCAGCAATTCTGTCTGCATAGAAAGTGGCATAAAGTTAAGCATACATCAAGGACCGGGACAAACTTTGCTAATCATAAAGTCTGGTCTTGGAGCACAAAATACCTTTACAAGGGCTGGATGCTGTTTCCAAAACTTTGCCTGCTCTTGCTTGATGTTTTTAAGGTCCAGATTCAACTCACTCCTGACTAGCATAAAAAGCTTCTGAAGGGGTTCATTGTCAGTTCTACGAACTGGAATTTCCGTATATTCAGCAGCCTTTATCAAGACATCCATTACTTTGCTGTATAATCAAATTATGTCATAAGATCAGTAAAAGGATTAACAACGAGTACAGCTTAATGTACACCTGATCCATACAAATATCAAGAATATTTATACATGTATGAGAAATTTTTGACCCTTCAGACTTGCAACCAGCTACTGAAAATAATAAACATATAAAAGCTAACTTCGGCAGTTCTGGTACACATCATTCTCTACTTAATTACCTTTGGAATATAAAATATTACATGAATTCAACTGCCAATGAACATATCTTTTAAACCAGTTGAGTACCTGGGAGCCAGAGAAGGCTTCATGAGGTAATAGTAAGTGGACAACGTGTGATGCATGACATAGTTGCCGGTATATTTTGCTGATCTTGAAAGATATACAACAGCTATCACCAATGGCAATAGAATACAAATACCAACAATCCAGAGTAGGAGTATTCCACCAGATGCTCCATCGATGTCCAGCAGGAATTGAGGAAGAGCTATGCCCATTTGAAACCCCTATTTGAATAAAGCATTGGTTTAATTTCAAAACATGATCAGTTCGACTTCATATAATATTGACAAGGGAACACTAAAAGAAAGTTGCCATCTTTTTTCCTTGAATGAAATTGCACATTACCTGCCTGCCATCTGGATGGCCATATTTTTCAAAATTCTCACGAGATACTGGATCCGTCAGAGCCTGATAAGCCTTTGATATGAACTCAACAAAGTAATTGTGGGCCTCTAGAAAAAGAAAAATTAAATAAACAGTTAGTCTATACACAATATCATAAAGGCCTCATCTTTCCCGCTACAGGTTCAGATAATAAGCAATTCATAAACTGAACTTTTAAAACAATATCAACCTGGATCTGGATTTTTATCTGGATGGTATTGTATAGAGAGTCTCCTATATGCCTTCTTTATCTCCGAATCAGAAGCTCCAGGTTCCAGTCCAAGAATATTGAATGGCTCAAAAACTTGAATCTGAAATTTTAGAAGTTTCTCAGAACAAGCATCCAACATTAAAAATATAATATGAGGTCCGAATTAACTAAATTGAAAAGCCGTGGCAAAGTAAAACAGCGGCAGGAAGACCATATGATAACAGTTTTCATTAATGCCTCATAAGGGTTAAAAAAGGTTTACCTCGCGGCTCATATTTTTGATGTAATAAACCAGGACTATCATGATAACCCAGAGCAGTATTAGTGTCAAGTTACTCCACGTCGATAAGTTTGAAATCTGCAAATGCGACCATAATCACATACATTCAGACTCTCGTTAGATGGTTTATATAACAAATATTTTGGTTTTCTTCTCGCAGTGACTAAATGAATAAAATATCTAAGCAAGAACTGAAGGAGCTAACCCGCTTAAAAATTGACTTGCGGTACTTTCCTGATCGAGAGCACTCTGAACACTGACAGTGGATGCTCTTTGTTTTCTTGGATGCAGCACGACACAACTTCGTAATTGTATAAGGCACTAGAGGAAGTGCCATTATGGTTAAAATGAAAATTGGGAACAAAGCACTAGTCTCTTCCGAAGCAGCCATGGCGACCTCCCTAGTCTAGTCCTATGTCCGTATTATGCCTGCAGAATTGACTTTGGTTAGAACAAATCAGTTCACAAAGACCAGAGCAACGACCAATGTTGCACCACGAATTTCAAAACATCTCCAATGCAATGACATTAGGATATACCGCCAAAAACATCATTCGCAACAATTTCATTTCCGTAACGGGATTTATAAAAATCTGAATCAAACTCAAAATTAGGCCATTATATGGCTAAGGCCAATCAAAATCACCGAAGCTCGGTGATGCAGCCAAATTATGAGATACACACACACACACACACACACACACACACACACACACACACACACACACACACATATATATATATATAACAAACAGTAGCCTACAATTGTGAAGTAGATCAAACCAATGACTGGGGTCAGACTCAGTACAGCCAATTGAATAGTAATACTGATAGCTGATTAACCTACGTACAGACAAAAATGGAGTGCCAAAGCTTCAAAAAAATCACACAAATCAATTCGAAATACTCAAACACGTTCAATAAATTAATAAAATTATCAAAATTGCCGCAAAATTAAAACGCATGCACACCTAAATCAAAATTCGACGAACTGAATTTCCAATTAAAACTATCGAAATGAAAAATATGGCAGAAATATGTACAAATATATATATGTATGCTTGCCTGGGAAATGGAAAATCCGGAGGTCGCGATCTGATTCGGAGGCTTTATGCCCGTACGATGGCGCGATTACAGAGACGGAGAGAGAAAGGAAGCGAGAGAGTTTTTCAGATGGGAGGAGAGGGAGAGCG